CCGAGTACTCGTGTAAATCGATGATAACCTGTGGTTAATTCATATGAAATTAGGGTTGTATAATGAATAAGATATTGCTCCAGGCAGCTCCAGGCTGCTCCAGGCTTGCTCCAGGCTTGCTCCACCGGTCGATCCTACCCTTTTTATACTACTCTTGCAGTACTGGCATATGGTACATAGTACTGACTGCGGATGAGAGACAACCGTACACGAACGCTTTCGGTCGCTTTCGATTTGTGAGCCTATGGCCGAGGATGACAGAGCCATGTAGGACGTTCAGGCCGTGAATGGCCTGGCGTATGACCTAGAATGGCATTGTATCACATGCTGCGCGCGTTTGAAGCGATAGCGATCACAACTTTCGGCCTCTCTCAAAGTGTTACACATTTAAATCATTACGGAATAGCACTAGCATGGATGCCCGACGTCTTGCGTGAGTTCAACGGGGGTTTTTCTTGGAGTCACAGCGGAAAGCACTCCAAGAATTGGTCCTCAGTTGCGCGCTATATAATGACTGTAATGCGTTATGACGTCTCCATTAAGTGGGTCGAGTCGTTTCTCGCAGAGAGAAGAAGAAGGCAGAGCTGGAATACCTCCCTCTCAAGGACCACCTCCCTCTCAAGGACCACCTTCCTCTCAAGGACCAAATCAACGGATAGGAATGTTCGACTCACTCTTCCAGCATCATAACACACGCGGGAACCTTGAGAAGGTCTGGGGAGAGATTCGGGAGCATCTGACCGGATTCGGGACAGTGTTCCGGGTGATCCAGGCCTTTGTGGCTCAGAATCCCTGGAGTTGGGATTCCGGAACCTTAAATGCCTTCGTGGATGGAGTCTTTCTTCTTCCTTTCGCGCCGCCCGAGCTTCGTACGGCGGCCCGGAATAGTCTCTTTTCGAACGCCATCACCAAAGCGAACATCGACAAGGCCATCGCTACATTCCAGGCCATCGCCAAGGTTCTTCCCGTTGACTCCGTCGTCGTCGGATGGGTGAATAATATCGTGCAGGAACTGCGGACGAGCAAGAGCGTGACCGAGATCTTGGTTAAGATGCTGAAGCCAGGGGAAAGCGTAGATGATTACTCGAAGAAGCGGGATGCAGCACTTGCCCAGCTCGCGAAGAGCCCGGGGATGGAGGTCATGCGGGAATTCCTGTCGTACTCTGCAGTTCCAGTGCCCGACCCACGAGGTGTATACCTGGGGATGCTGCGCTGGGACTCTCAGGCATCCGTGGATGCGGGTAACACCCAGGCGCTGACCTCGCCCACTCCGGAATTGGGGGCTTTCTTCGGCATCTTCGATCCTAAAGCTTACGTCGAAATGAGACAGATCGAGGGACCGTATTTCGACCTGGCTACCGTGGCAAAAGGAGGGCAGGTTTTGGTGGTTGCCATAAGACAGGTGAATAAGACCGACGAGGCTCAATTCCAGCTCCTCCGTCGACGATACGAGACACTTCTCGCTTCTCAAAGTGGAGTCCTTCAGATTTCCGAGTTCCAAGTCATCAGAGACAGCTTCTTGCCCGGCAACGCGGATCCGAACCCGAAGAACCTGAAGGTGGGGATCGTGGTCGCGCAGAGCAAGGAGAAGTGGCAGTCGGCCGTGAACGCATTGAGCAGGGATCCCGTGACTACGGCTTACTTCGCCACCTTCACTCCTGTGGCATATCAGTATACCGTTGCAGCCTGATCCGACGTTTGATTCACGGACAAGTTCGACCCAGAAGAATAAAGTCTGATTTCATCAGAGCATATCCGCTCTTTTATTCTCGCTTAGGAGAAGACGTACTACTTTCAGATTAAATACCTGTATGTTCACTTATACTGCAGTTTTCTTTTTGGAAACATTATCAAGCATGGCTGAGTATCTTTTCAACTGATTTCTTGCAATCTCACTATTATTTTTCCCGTCAATGCAGTACTCTAGGCGCTTATTGGAAAATTTTTTTGCCATTGATGATGGACACGTTTCTCCGATGATAGGTAATTACAAGAAAGAATCGAGCAATGCTCTTTTTAATCGAAATCTAAATAATTTCTATTCGAAATTGTTTCGTCGCCTCTTTCAGATGGCATTCATCAGCCTATTGTTGTATTATTTGCGCATGAGTCATTGAGTATGAAACACTTGAAAGCGGACTTGAAAGCAGTCGTATTATTCGCATGAGAAGCGTGAAGTAAAGATGGAGGAAATGCTATGTTTAAAATGGGATTGTTCATGAATCTTTGTCTAACGCGTTATTTTTTGCGGAAGTTCCAAAACACAGGCTTAGTAACATCCAAAGAAGCTGATAAGTGGTGGACCACTACCTACATTTGGGGAAGGGAGCTAGTGGCCCAGTTGCTTCACTGGATTGTGGGCCGCTAGGTTCATGTCCCACTTGCTGGGATATGTACGTTGTGGTTCAGATGCTAATGGGCTATTGGGAACTCATGCCCCCCCCCCCCCCATTCTCCCTGGAAGGAAACTTCAAATTCAAAATTGACATTAATAATGGGAATTTCAGGGAAAATTCGCAGGAAAGGAGACCCACTGAAAAGGATGAATCATTGATCTATCCACCCCCAAGAAACCGAAGCGTTCCAACCAAATGGAAAGAGCCAGAACTCTCCTACTCGAAACCTCCTTGTTCATGGGTGCATCAAATGAAAAGTGATCACTATATCATTTTGGTTTTTAATTGGTTAAATTAATAAGTGTTTGTGTTCGTTTTAACTTAATTTTGGGTCCTCTCTGCATTTTTAATAGCATGAATTCGAAAAAAATGCGGGAAAGAAATCAGCATCTTGAAAAGGTTGTTTTCCATGTAGCACATCCGTGCAAGAAAGTTAAGCGATGAATGATTTCATTACTGGCACTCCGGCTCGTGAAATCCACCGTCAATCATAACACACGCGGGAACCTTGAAAAGGTCTGGGGAAGGATACAGGAGTATCTGACCGGATTCGGGACAGTGTTCCGGGTGATCCAGGCCTTTGTGGCTCAGAATCCATGGAATTGGAATTCCGGCACTGTGAATGCATTCGTGGAAAATGCATTGCAGTGGGAAGATACGAAGAATGGATCCGACCGAAAAGTCCAAGCCGACAATTCATTTTTAAACCATACTTTCTCTTCAAGTGTGAAATAAATGCCGCGAGAACATGCAAACGTACCAGTGTTTGCTCACGATGAGAGATCCTGAATGAATTCTGAAGAGCCACGCGAAGTAGATAGATTCAATGAAGGACGCAGCCCATCCTCGCGTGTACATAATGAATAAAAGGACAAAAGAAATGCGGAAAATAGCTGTTGCACGAGTGACGGCACCGAATGACGGTCCCAATCCATACCTGGACGAAGGACGAAAGGAGAAAATAGCCGCATGACAATGGGAAATTCCTGTTTAAATTCGGAACTACGTCGGGGGGAAACCACGCCCGAGGGAAACCACACTCGCAACCCCAGCGAAGAGACGACGATGAAGCCTTCCCTGCTGCTCGTCGCTCTGGTCTGCGTCGGAGCCTCCTGGGCTCAGCCTCCATCGGTAAGCAAACTCTGTCCTCTCTGGTCGACTATCGTATGCTCACGCCTTCTTCTCCTTAACTTCACCGCTTCTCTGAATCTCACCATCAGGCAACCGAGTCCATTCAGCAGTTTAAATAAGAGTGCTTCCGAATGATATGCACGACGGGATCGAATAATGCCCCTAATTTCTACGATGAAGAAGGAAGCCAAATCGCTTCTCTGAATCTCACCATCAGGCAACCGAGTCCATTCAGCAGTTTAAATAAGAGTGCTTCCGAATGATATGCACGACGGGATCGAATAATGCCCCTAATTTCTACGATGAAGAAGGAAGCCAAAAAGATTCCCCATATATATTTTCCTTTTAGACGTTCAATCTCTTTCTCTGAGATGTTAATTTGGATCAAGAGCCACGTGAAATTGTGAGACGAAGATGTTTCATTACGGTCATTTTTCTGTGAAAAAGGAATGAAAGGAAAGGTCTCATTTTCTGTTTGTTCGTTTATAGTGATTTTTTTGCTCTGATTCAAACCTAATATATATTTTTTGGATGGAGGCGAAATCATCATTTCTTTTATTTACATCCTTTATTAACCGCAATCTGTCATTTAGTCCGCGTATAAATTTAAGAACGCATCGCCTCCACTTCCATATTTAATGAAGCACTTCATACCATAGAAAAAGTTTGGAAGAATACAAAAAATAAAAATTTCTAAAATATTATGCGGTGTCAGTTAAATGGACGTGCGAAGTCCTCCACGGGAATTTTATCATTTCCCCCCCTCAATTCCTAAATTGAGGCAGTCCATGAAGTCGTCCAGAGTCGAGAGCGATCGAATTACCGTAATGCGTCCTGACGACTCCATTGAGCGGGTCGAGGCTTCCGTTTTCGCAGGGACCTGGAGTCGGAGGCAGACCTGGACTCCCTCCATTTTATGGACCGCCTCAATATCCGGGACAGCAAGACGATGGCGGATGGGGAGGAATGGGGGACTTGGGGGCACTATTCAAGAACAATACCGTTCGGGGGAACCTTGAAAGGATCTGGGGAGAGTTACGGGGGCACCTCATGGGATTCGGGATGGCGAACGGGATCGTGGAGGCTTTTGTGGCACAGAATCCCTGGAGTTGGGACTCCGGCACGGTGAACGCCTTCGCGAACGGGGTCTTCCTTCTTCCTTTGGGGCCGCCCGAGCTTCGCACTTCGGCCCGGAATAGCCTGTATTCGAACGCCACCACTAAAGATAACATCGACAAGGCCATCGCTGCATTCCAGGGCATGGCCATGGTTCTTCCCGTTGACTCTGTCGCTGGCAGATGGGTGAATAATATCGTGCACGAACTGCGGACGAGCAAGAGCGTGACCGAGATCATGGTTCAGACGCTGAAGCCAGGACAAAGCCTGCAAGACTACCAGCAGAAGCGGGATACAGCACTTACCCAGCTCACGAAGAGTCAAGGAATCGAAGTCATTCGCGTATTCCATTCCTACGCGTCGGTTCCCGTGCCCGACGCGAGAGAGGTTTTCTTCGGGATGCTGCGTTGGGACTCCAAGAAATCCGTGGACGACCGCAACTCCATTGCGTTGAATTCGCCCACGCCGGAATTGCGGGCTTTCCTGGCCACCTTCGATTCTAAAGCTTACGTCCAGGTGCGGCAGATCGAGGGACCGTACTTCGACCTAGCCACCGTGGCAAGAGACGGTCAGGTCGTGGTAGTGGCCATCAGACAGGTCAATAAGGCCGACGAAGCTCAATTCCAGCTCCTCCGCAGACGATACGAGAATCTTCTCGCTTCCCAAGACGGAGTCCTCGGAATTTACGAGTTCGAAGTCGTGAGCGACAGCCTGCTGCCTAGCAACGCGAATCCGAACTCGAAGAACCTAAAGGTGGGGATCGTGGTCGCACAGAGTAAGGACAAGTGGCAGTCGGCCGTGAACGCCTTGAGCTGGGATCCCTTGACCGCGGCTTACTTCGCCACCTTCACTTCGTTGGCCTATCAGTATGGCGTTGCCGTGTGAAGCAGTGTTGGAGTCATTGAGTCTTTCTTCTACAGCTGAATAAAATACAGTTTTCATGAGAGCATTTTTACACCTTTGTTTTCGCTCCTCCTCCAAGTAGTTTTCCCAATTCTTGGCCCTCGAAAAAGTGCTCCAGTGATAACCTTAGGGATTGAAGTCCTTGGTAATGAAACCCACAGAAGTTCTAATCTTATGACGGATATCAATCCCATCCCACGAATAGACCCCCTAAAGGAAAGACAGTCTAGTGGGACTTCTTTTCCGTGGGACGTTGAAATATGAATCCTAAGTGGGGCCTTCCCTCCGACACACTTGGAAACCCAGACTGTACGACTAAAAATTTAAATAAGGAATACTTTTAGTGTAATGTTCGAAGGAGCAATTATTCGATGCCGTCCCGGCTGTGACAGTCGCCATTGCAGCACTAATTTGGATCAATCCCACGCTTCATCACCAACGTTTCGTTATGAGCCCATGTCCTTTTGAATCGATCTAAACCCGGAAGACTGATGATCTAGAAGTTCCATATTTGCTCCAAAAAGACAACTCCACTAGTACGAAACCATTCGGGATGCCTCTGGGGCTTCGTTGCGCACGAGTTCGACCGAGCATGCCCACGGTCGACAGAGGACTGCATGGACAATCGAGTCGCTGAGCGCCACGCTTCAAATGTCGCAAGAAGCTGCACCGCCGCCCGTCACTCCTGGTTGCTTGCAGACGAATGACAGAACGATCGAGAAGCAGTTCCCTGGCGGAACCAGTCGAATGCCTTCCGCTGATGCGTAGTTAGAGCCAACCAATTGGAGGAGTTCTGTCGGTCACGTGACTGGATGGCGATCTTTCTTCGGCGGGATGCAGTTCAATTGCACTCAGCCTCTTTCCATGGATGACCTTGGTCGCCGCTTTCGTCACTCGTACATCTCAGTGTTTCTTCGAAGTGTTGTGCCGATGCCTGTAGTCCTGCCGTGCCCTCTCTGCAATCCCAAGACCTGGACGAGGTCCGTCGTGGGAAGTCCATAGGCCTAACTTTAGGCCTTGCTGGAGTGACAGTGAGTCGAAGTTTTCCTTTCTCCTCCGGACTTGTGACCGATATGCAGGGTCGGACTGACGGCTTACTGGCCTCCTGGGAAATTGCTGACAAAGGGCTCCCGCACCAACACTCCCCCTTTCCCAAGAATATACATACAATTTTTTTAAATCAGGTCTGGGGGGTCCCCCGGGAAATTTCCCGTATCCCGGCGGGCCAGTCCGACCCTGCTGATATGCCTCAAGCGGCTCGAGTCGTAACGCTTAGCTTATGCCTACTGAGTGTGGTATTGCAGTACGGCTGCCAGCGCTTCGTCTCTTCCTAGGGAAAAAAAAAAATGGGTGGGAGGGGGTGGGGGGGGAAATGTTTGCCGCTGCAGCTCTGGTCGGACGNACTCGAGTCGTAACGCTTAGCTTATGCCTGCTAAGTGTGATATTGCAGTACGGCTGCCAGCGCTTCGTCTCTTCGTAGGAAAAAAAAAAAAAAAATTGGGTGGGAAGGGGTGGGGGGTGAAATGTTTGCCGCTGCAGCTCTGGTCGGACGTCAACTGGGACTGGTCGTCTCATGAGCCCGTTCCGATCAAAATTTCGAAACTGACAGGTCCATGTGCGAGAGTTATGAGTTTAGAAGAGGGAAGAGCTCTTGCCTTCGAGGGGCTGATGGTTCCTGTGCGCGGCAGGTTGTATGCGGAAATCTGATCGGGCGAGTGTGGGCTGGGTCTTCGGATATCCGGTTTTCGCTATCGCCCAAGTCACCTAGAACATTAGCGAGAATACTAACTTGAGGGTCTTGCAGGCGCAATCAGGCTCGACGAGCATGTGCGTTGCACGTGTCACTCGAGTCTTCGTACATGCCTCCGGGCGAAAGTCTCTTCTGGATCGCGTGAGTGGTACGATTCGCCCAGGGTAGGCCTTTGATAAGATCTACGATCTCGGTGCGATAGGTTGAAGAGGTCGCGCATGGGAGGCCTGGATGGTCCTACTGTGCCTTGTATTGCCTGGTGGTGTTTTAAGTAATTGTCAGCTCTGCTGTCATGTCATAGAGAGGTTAGCAAATCGTTATTGGTTATGTTCTTTGGCAAGGCTGTATTTCAAAAGCATTTTTAGCACTCATTGACATTTCTAATGATACCCCAAAGAGGTTGAAAATGTTAGTATCATGTGGAACATGGTAGAACATGCTAGTAGAATTAGTAGGCCTAACCGTTTGGCTAGTTGAGGCTACCTTGGGAAGTAATGGTAATTCTGAGTTGCACCTCATGTCCTGAGAGTTTGGGGGTTCATGAAGAGCTCCAAATCTGGCAGCTTTCAATTTGTGGGCAGAACAGATGAGAAAATACTTGCTCCACCCTTACAGTTGACAGGCAGTTTGGTCCTTATAGATGAGATACGTTTTTTCAGATGATTCCCCAGATCAGCAGTGTATCTCCCCACACTCCTTTTCATCCTTTTATCTATTTTTAAGTAATTTTAGGAGCAGTAGTTTCCAGGCTAGGAGCTTCTCTATTCATACACTGGCAGTGACCCTGTCAGCAATATTCCATGCTCACCACTTTTGAAGTAAAGACAGAAGCCTGGAGGATGTCCTGGAATTTTCCAATCATCATTACTTCAGAGTATATTTCCATGTTGTGAATTTGTAAAGCCTCTTCCATGAGCAGATAGAAAAGCCAGAGCGCTTGCATACAAAGTAGAGTAAGAATTATAATTTTAAAATATTAATAGCAACAGTTATTGCAGAGGACATGCAATTGTACAATGTCATGAAAAGCAAACTGTACTATCTCCAAGGAGTGAATCTTAGGGGAACCTCATTTTTCATGATGTGCCAGCAGTGAGTTTCAAAGGTCAATATCCAAAACTGTAGACATTATCACCAGTAGATTAGAATGTCCAATTGTTTTTCCCCTATGAGTTTTCTCTGCCTTCAGGAAAAGAGAATAAGAGCATCAAGAATATATGAAACTGTGCGGTCATCTCCATTCATATGGATGAAAATTTGGTCTGACTGATGCACCCAGCAAGGTCAGTGACTGTGGGATAAGTTTCATTTTAAATCTTGGTTTGGAAGCATGTGGTTAGAGGTGCATATGAAGAATCCTATGGAGACCAATGCTGAGAACTGGAGCACTGGGAGTGGAATAGAACTTGTGTAGGAGTGTAGGAAAGGCGAGACAAATTTTGACCCTGCTATAAATTCAACCCCTCCCCCCTCCCTGTGACACATTTCACAATAATAATGAATACTGTCTTTTCTATATAATCCAAATTGCACCTATGTTTGGTTTTAATAACATGGACAGTGTGGATTTTCTCCTTGAATAATATAATCCCAAAATGAATAACCCACTAAAGGGATTAAGAGTGTCAGAATTTATCTTGCTTTCTGTACCATCCTGAAAGCATGTATCCTCAGTGACCATTTTCCGCAGAGAACGTGTTGGAGATCTTTCACGTGAGTTCCAACCCTTGTTGGTAGTTGAGTGACTAAAGTCACCACAGGTTGTAACTATGGAGGCCAGTAGAGACCATAAAATGGTATTCAAGATGTTGTATCCAATATTTTCAAACACCTCCAGAATGGAGAGGGGTGGCAGTTCGGAAGGATATAGCCAAGAGCAAACCCACATTGATGGGCTGGACAAAGAAACTGGATTTTTTTCATCTTCCAATGCTGATTTTTTTTCCCTATGCGATGAAGTGGTGGAAGGAAGCATTGGCCAGGAATCCTGTCCCCTCTGTAATCATTTGAGTTCTATATGCCTTTCATGTCATCATGCCAGAATTGTTGAAAGTGGACTTCAGATGGTTATGAGCCTGCTTCTAAAGTGCTTCTGTCACTATCTTGGAGTATTTCTAGGTTTTGGCGACTCCAGATCTGGAAGACCTGTTTTGTCCTGTGCAAGTACCTTGGTATCTAAGGGTAAACACTATTCCAAAAATTTTATTCAAATAGCTACAGGATATAAAATGAAATTTTAGGAAACACCAACATCATGGATATGTACAAAGTCTCACTTTGATTCACAACACTCATTGAAAATCCACATAAAATGAGAATATCAAGAAGGCCTCCAGTGATGCATAATATCATTAAATACAAAGCAATTTCACTTTTGGGGCATAAGACTCACTCTTCAATCGTGGCATTTATCTCGTCCAGTTCTTGCTTCACATCCTCAAGGGATTTCTGTTCCTGTAGAATCAAATGAAATGCAAGCTTCTCAATCTCTGTGGATCTATGTAAAATTGAGTCCAAGATGAGCAGAATGAAGCGAAGTTTTGGAGTTAATGCTTGCTCATAGGGAAAAATTCAGCTGATAGAAAATTGTCAGATAAATTTGAGTTTAAGCATGAGTACAGCAAGCACCTCTTCAATGCGGAATTTCGGGTTGACACCAATGCAATTATATATATAAATGTCAACCACAGCTCTACATAATCTGGTACAACTACATCAGTCTAATGACTTGCAGATACCTTTAGTGAGTCAGGTTGTTTTTGCCTCTCAGCTGGCCTATCGGGGCCGAGCAAGTTTGAAATAGATATACTGATTGCATGCTACCAGTTGCCCCGATTTGCCAGGCAATCAAATTAGCTGTCTACAATTGCTCAAAATCATCTTCTGGTCTCCCCCATTTGATTTTTCACCTACCTCCACCTGATTCCATGGCTTCATAGAGTTTCAATCTCTAGGTGCCAGTGGGTGACAGAAACTGACATTTCCTGCAATTAAAATTCAGCAAATTGGTCCTACATCAAGCTACATGATGGAGATACAGTGATGGCATGAAGTGGCTTCTCTTATATTCACCTCATTGTTGTACTTATTACAATAATTGTTTTCATCCAATGGAGAAGACGTGTTGAGATGGCACTGATTCTGGCTATCAGCTGTCAGGAGTGAGAAGGAAAGGGTGAAAAAAGGAAAAGGCATAATAACTTTCTTATTTATCCTTTATATCTCAAGAACTTATTTCTTTGTTCACATTTATTGTTGCTATATTATGTTGGGACAATATTTTTTTTAATAGCTTCTATTTTCAAAGACTTTTCCTATAAACATCATGTTTTTTTTTTGTTTTTTTTTATATTGGTACAAAATTATAAATTTATTATTCATAAATTTAAATTCTAAACTACAATTTTATTTCAAACCTGCAGAACTTTGGGACTTTTAATTGTATCTGCCTATAGGGAATTTGCACCCTTAAGTAGCAAGGCACTCTCGATTGCCAGGAAGTGGTGCAACACTTGCCATAAGAAAACTGAAATGTGCAGGGATGCTATTTGAAAGTGCAAAAGAGCTCCACTTACGTCGTGTGCATGGAGCGACCCCATGCAGTGCAGCTACTGCTTCTGAAATCAAATGCAAATTGCAGTGAGAGAGTAACCTGACCCCACCCTCGTGCATGCAAGGATCCTGTTCTAGGACTAATCCCATAGTTCATGGCCAGAGCTAATAGAAAACGTACAGGTCGGTCCAAATTGAAGTTTCCCTTTTGGCACAATCAACTAAGGATGCAAAGCAAACAATAACTTTTTTTTTGGCAAGGATTACATTGCTCATTAGTTTGAGAAATTGCAACAAAAATATACCGGAGAGAATGGATTCATTAGTCAAGATGGGAAGAGAGCACAGCAATCAGATATGAAGACAAACTGTGCTTAATTTATTTGAGTAGTGAGTGAAGTCAACTCTACCAAACAAAATGAGAACCCTATTTATGTGTACTCGGTCAGAAGCCAACCTTGCTTTTTTTGTGTGCCCCAGATTCGAACTAATAGCAAATAATCGCAATACCTGTATAAACCTGTTAACGCTCTTCCATTAGCCCTGGTTCACAACCGCTCTAAAGGACGCCTCAAAGGCGTTCGAGTTGCAACAGGTGTGTACAGCAAGCAAGAAGAAACAGATGAACAGGAGTCTTGACGACCCTCAGGCAAAGGAAAAAAAAAGTGTTGCATTTTTCATTTGTACAAGACCCGAGAGAGCATACCTTCCAGAACATGTCACTCCAGGATGGGAAGAGAAGCTTGAAGGCCTCAGGCTCCATGCCTTGCTTCACGGCGAAGATCACCGTGGAGTCCTTCTCTCGGTCCGTCGGGTCGGTTCGGATGTATTCCTGCAATAGGGATGTGCACATTGGGTCTCGGTGCCTCTGTGGGAACTTCGACTGTTCTCGAGTGATGTTTCATGGCATGAAACACCCTTTTCTATTTAAATCATGATCGCTCGGAAGAGCGGATTGCATGTTTCCTGATCTGGTAGCAAGAGTGTGCAAACCCTTCCTAACAACTCCAGGGCAGGACACCAAATTAGAAATTCTACATGCGAGCATGAATCGAATTTCTTTTTCATCGCCCCTCGCAGAAAGTTAACGAGAGCAGACTTACCTCGGCCATCTGGAATCCATTCTGCCTCTCCTCGGGACTCGCCCCCTCTCCCACCCAGACGTAGACCTCTGCCCCCGTATCCAACACCATCACGTCGTCCGTCTCGAGATCCTGCCGGACCAAAAACTATATAACCTCCATCGACGAACCCAACCCGACCGGATCCGTGCAAGGCGACCGAACCTGTTGACCGAAGTCCTCCACCTCCTCCACCCTCAGCTTCCCGCTCTCCGGGAGAATGCAGTGGAAGAGCCTCGGCCCGAGCAGCGGCTTCTCCGGGATCCCCACGTCCGTCTTGTATTCCCCCTTGCCCCCCAGCGCGGTCCAGAAGGAGTCCGGCTCCTCGCCCTCTGCGATCACCTGGCTTTCCCGGTCCGGAGACACGACCCCGGCCGCGTTCTTTGCCATCTCCTTCTCTTCCTCCGATGCTCCCTGCGTGAAACAAAGGGTCAATATCTCTCCTAGGAGAAGAAAGCGACTAACGAACCGGATTAGAACAGGAACGAAGAACTATGTATATCAAAACGGACGGCATGACGATCGAAGGGACTCAAAAGTGATAGAAAAACCGATTCGGTGACAGGATCCAGATACCTTTCCGACCCATATGAAGGTGTCAGAGGGAATTTCGAGGACGAAGACATCATCCGAAGCCAGGGAACTGGCCTTCTCCTCGACCTGCTCCGCCCTCACGTCCACGTCCGACAGCCCCCTCACGCGGAACAGTCTCGTCCCGTCCACGTCGTAGGTGTCGTGGTCCCTCAGGTTCCGGAATCCGCTCGCGTGACCCCCCAGGAAGATCACCATCTTCCCTGTGAAAACGATGACGTCAGTGCCCGGCAGAGCCCAAGGGGATCGCGAGCCGCCTTACCCTTGAAGATCCTGAGGAAGTGCTCCGGCTCCTGCCCGTGCACGACCCGGACTTGCACGGCCTTCCCGCCTAGCTCGTCGTCCAGCTTCACGGCGTGGATCGCCGATGCGGCCTTTTCGTCTTGGCTGCTCTCTCGACCCTGCAACACCCGCGTCGAAGTTTAACGAGCACGATCCCGATTCTTCAAATACTGCCTGTATCCTGTACGATCTCGCGATGAACTCATTTTTTTCGCGAGAAATTTCAATTCCAATCGGAACCAGCGGTGGGAAATGCATTCACGGCGGTCGACTTTCTCACCTGCCAGAAGTAGACGATGTAGTTCTCTCGGCCGTCCTTTCCGTACGCGTACCGAAGCACGTAGGAGTCTCCGCCGAAGAACATGCCGTACTTCTCCTCCTCGAGGGGAGCCAGCTCGAAGTTCTCCACGCGGAAGACCTCCACCTTCCCGGAGCCGTCGTCCGGCATGAAGCCCACGGCCTGCCCGGCGTTCTTGGCGAGCATTCGGCGCTTCTCGGCGTGGAGGCTGCAGACGTCGAAGGCGGCTTCCGACGAGCTGGCCATCGTTGCTGTGGGCGGGACGCGAGGGGACGGGGCGTGAAGCGGGGCGTGACGGAGCAAGACGCGGCGTGACGCGAGGGATGGACGTACCTGCGATCTGTGCTTTGGTGTAGATGCGTCCCAGGCCGACCTGGTCCGCCGGTTCCTTCCACTGGCTGAAGTACTGCTTGAAGATGGCCGGTTCGGTTCCTTCCACCACTCGTTCTATCTGCGAGGGGTATACGTTTTTCCGATGCGATTATCTGCGAAAAGGGACGTCCTTGGCCGAGTCAGGGACGCTCTTTTTCCGCATTTCAAGGTCAATCCTGGTCAAGTTGAGGGTCGATTTTCGTGCTGTCAATTAGGTAAGGCAGCCGTGAGACAGCGAGACCCTTAGCTAATGGGAAGTGGCTTGAATTAGCTAATGAATCAAGACCTTTTCTAGGAAAAAGAAGACGAATGATCATGTGGACTAGGGGGTAGGGGTAATTAAAAGTAAGAGTTCTTCCACAGTAAAAGTAAAAAAAGTATTCAAGTAAAAGTATTATAATAATCAAGTCTTAGCTAAACGGAATAACTGAAAACCCTTAGAAGCTAGAAGATAGAGGAATCCAGCCTCATTTATTTATTTTTTTGCTGGCTTCTTGCAATATTGCTCACTTTTTCTTTTATCATCCAAGCGTGCATCAAGTCTGTTAAGCCCGAACCTACAGAAGAGACTGCCCCTCGGGCATCAATGAATTTTTAAGAGCAAGTACTTTTTTCCCTTTAATTTTTTTTTTTCCCAGCTAATAGTTTATACAACGCGAACTGGTTCCCCCTCGTCCTGCTGGAGAAACATATCGTGCCACATGTTATCAAGACGAGTAATAATCTTAAATGCCTAAATGACCCCCCTCTCATTATTTTAATCGACTTCCTTCCCGAACGGCAATGACTGGAAATGGCCACTTCCCTGCCGCAAATTACGATTGGCAACGACCGTGCCCATGCCGCAAACGACCGCAGATCGGCAAATCAGGGACGCAAACGACCTTGGTCCAGAGCGGATAGCCCTTCTCCTGGAGGTACTTGGAGGCGAGGTCCATGGCGTGGATCTTCTCGGCCTTGGAGCTCCCCTTCCCGATCCAGACGTAGACGGCCGCGGACCCGGTGTCCAGCAGGAAACAGTCCTGAGCGGGGGCGTCAAGCACAGTGATGCCAGATGTATTAATGGGGGTCTTTCCGCCTTCCCGTCGGCCGTCGCGGAGTGCTCGACGGAGACGAGCGCGTGCCGAAACGTTTAGAGATCGGGGAAATGTGAGAAAGGGATTGAAAATTCATGCGAAGTGTGCCGGCAGGAAGGAAAATAGAAACTATGCTCAATATATCAATTAGGGCAGCCATCTTTAATAGTGTCATAGTATGTTAATAGTGGGCCTCCTTTCTTGAAAGGGAAGAGATCATTTTTATTTAGTCCAATCCTGTCCGTTCGCCTGTCGCAACAGTTATCCGACAATGGCTAAAAAAAAAACAGTGACCGGGTCACTGTGAAAATTGATATGCTGATGAGGGGAAAGCAAAGGCGAAGTTCATTTTCCTAAAATTCTCGTCAAAACCAGAACTTTTAAAATGAAATTTCGAATATATTGTGTTTCCCTCTGCAAAAAGGCATGGAAAAATGTGCGCCTTCCCATATCTCCATCTCGAGGCACGTGCACACAGCTTGAATCGGGGTGTCATATCTCCAACCAGTTGGCACTTCCAGCCGACGCATTCGTTGTTGACAAATGGGGAGAGGTCGTAAATGTCCTCTCTGCCAGTGTTGCCAGATTTGGCACTGCCCGGAATCACCTCCATATCTACCTGACAAAGACCCCCCTCCCCGTCCATAAGTCATCGAAAGGAGGCCCACTGTTGGACTGGGCTCGCCCAGCTAGTTCAATTCGTCGCCGGAGAGAGTCCACCGCCGCCATCTAAAAGGGACCGATATGAAGTGCCCCACACATCCGGAAAATTTTGTTAAGCCGTAAGCACTGACAGGTGGACCGAAGTAGAAGGCAAGGGAGGGTTATAAAGTCATGCCACGTCGAAAAGGCATCGTCGGGGGAGAGAAGAACCGCGACGATTTCAGAATGTGTGAGGCTCGAGACACGTCAAGCAAGCACAGGCAATTCATTATCTCACATCTTACCTGTCCCCCCATCTCCTAAGGAGAAGAGAACGCAAATATGACCGACTGATGGAACGAAGGAGGGAGAGGCGAGAGGAAAGCGACCGACCTGGGAGTCGAGCATGTCCTGTCGCAGGGGTTTCTCCCCGATCTTCACCACGTTCAGGGCGCCGCTCTCGTCGCTGATCTTGTGGAGGGCCACGGTAGCCTGCAACGGGAAACCTCCATCATCCCAACCTCCTTCACTTAGTCTCGACGATACCGAACGGGTCGTACGTGTTCCTGTCGCTCATGCTCGGCGTCGTCCCCGGCTACGCTGGCGTCGGCCAGGTCGTCTGGGCTCCCTCCGCCCAGTTCCTCGAAGAACTTATTCACCAATCCCTCGCTCGCGTGCTCGTCTGCCCCGAGGAAGAAACGAATTGTGCACTTTCTCGGTCGCAATATTATTGTGCGAGAAAAATAAGCATGCATTGTTAGGTTATTCTTTTTTCCCTACCATTTAAAAGGTTCACTGACTTTTTCAAGACAAAATATCAATATTTGTTATGGAAGATAGACGGAAAAGTAATAGCGAAGACTGTCCTACGTCACTGAGATCTGTTACAACGCCGACAGTCCCGCGTTACACCCACTAGTTCCTAAAGGGCGTTACTCAATTTGCGTGTCATGCGTCCTTTTCGTGGATGCTTGGGGAGGTAGCTAGACGCACGCTTGCACACGCATTTCTACTTACATCCAATGGTTTTTCACAAAACGCAAGGCTTGCGTGTGAAAATGGGATGAGTCCAATTGAATACGCAAGGCTTGCGTTTTTGTGAAAACCTTCGACGTAAGTAGACACGTGTGTGCACGCCTATCTGCCACGCAAAGGACTCACGACACCCAAGTGCGAAACGCCCTCGTCTCGTCACAAGCTCATCTCACCGATGATGTGAATGCGCGCCTTGCCGGCGTGGTCCTCGTCGCGGAGCTCGTTGGCGACCATGACCGCCTTGAGCCTCTCGGTCCGGCGGCTCCCGGAGCCCGAGTAGACGTAGATGTCCTTCCCCGCGTCCAGGATCCAGCAGTCTCCCTTGTTCATCACCGCTACGTTCACCTCCACCTTCGGTCACAGGGGTTTCTTTTCGTTCGATGCAGGTCCAGCAAGGTGCAATAGGGTTCACAAGGTTGGTCGGCATATTGAGGACTCAGACAATTCGGAGAGGGGTTGCTGCCTAATGCGAATTACGATCTGATTCCGGGATAAACAGACAACCCCCCCCCCTCCCCTTAACATTGACAATAAAGAAAGAGGGGGGGGGGGGTTAGGGGGAAAATCCCCCCCTCCCTTGCAGCAGTTCCATGGAAATTTGGAACATTTTGCCATCTTTTCCTGACGCTAGCATATGCCGTCCTCAATAACGACGCTCCACGAAAACGCTACCTGTTTGACGCGGATATTCCTCCTCCCCTTGACATGGAAGAGCCTCTTCTCAAAGGCATCCGGATCCACGTGAGTGAACCCGCTCTTCACTCCCCCCGGGAGGTACTTCACCCCGCTCTTGAAGTAGGCGAGGAAGAGCGTGGACTCGTGGCCCTCCACCTCGCGGTGCTGGACCGGGGCGCCGCCCAGCTGGTCGTCCAGCTCCACGGACTTGATGGCGGCGGCGCCGGCTTCGTCCTGCGGTTCGCGGTGGGGTTAGACGTCGTTCGTGTCGAGGTGATACGGAAGATGAAATTTTAATTAATAAATACATTTATATGTGTACTTATTTTTTTTTGTTACGATTAGCCATTAAAGGAATATGAAAAGTCAAACAATGTAAAGGAATAATGCTTACAACAGGTAAAAGATAAATATGATAAATATGCGAAAAAAATCCGTCATTCTATCTGTGGTACCCCATCTATTCAACTCTGAAACTTATTGCTTAGTGACTAAATAAAAAAATAAAAAAGAATAACTAACACTTTCCCAGAAAACTACGGAAATCCTTTTCTTCTTCCCATTTTTCAAACTTAAGAATTATGAAAACCAATGGAAAACTCATTTGAAATTGATTTGTGGAATAATAATATAAATTTATGTCTCATTTCCATAACAAAAAAATTCAGAGATGCAAATACGATGAAATCTCGTAAAATGAAGAGAAATTCCTCGCGTAACATTTTTTTTTCTCCCGAAGTGCAACAGTTCTGGCTGTCGACAAGTGCTTTCGGCTTAAGTAGGCCGCTGAAGAGGAAGGGAAGCGAACCTGAGAGGTCTCGGCGCCGAGCCAGAAGTGGATGTCCCAGGACAGCTTCCCCGCGACTTCCTTCGTCTGCGTGGGGGGAGAAATTTCCAGGAAATCGTGATTCATGGGGGGAAAATTCCAGGGGGGAAAAATTTCACGGGGGGAAATTTCCAGGTGGAATGAAGCCGCGGTAAAAGCGAAAGGCCTGTGTCGGGCGGGTATGGCTGAGTGTGGAAAACCATATTCTAGGTTTCTATTTTGCCCAATCTCATCCTCCATTACGGACGTGGGTCGAAGGTCAAAGGTCATGGATATTGCGTCCCAAGTTTACTCAGACTCCATATTTCATCGTGTTTTCAGATTAGCATTCGACGGAAAATCCGCCCACCCCGAGATTTGTTATTTTGTTCGTCTGAAAAAGGATTTAAAGGCTGGGCGATGGAAATAAGGCCCTTTAATTCATTATGCTATACTTCATTCAGTCACCACTTTTCTCCTCCGCCCACGCGTTTGATTGTCGTGCTTGTGACCCTGAACTCCGGCTTCATTATGATTCAGTCCTACCGTGAAGACAGGTGCGGCCTGAGCGAGAAACGCAGGAAATGGTTTCACGCACTTCCCAGAAATGCGGCATGACCGCATCCATGGAAAATTTATTCATGAAATGCATTAGTCACAGAAATTTGCATATTTTGCAACTTGAATGCTTTCCAGTATTCGGGCTTCGATCGGCACGGAGCGAAAATGACGGCCGGAACTGAAAAAAAATGAAAATTTGAATGGGCCGAATTTTCGCGATGCGGTCGGGCTTGCACGGATTCCCGCGCGAATCCTTTTTCGTGACCGAGCGGTTTCCACGACCTCCTCGTCAGTTTCAGGCGGTGAATCCCTTGCTGTATTTCATTGATTCCAAGAGAAATTCGGGTACCTTTTCCGATAGGGGAACGTGTCGCCGTTCCCTCGAGGATTAATATATCTCATGTTAATCGGATTTCCCTATGAAATCCGACCAGCGTGAGCGATCCTCCTGTGAGCGATCCTCTCGTGAGCGATCCTTCGAGCTCATGCATAATGAGCTCTACCAGCCTCTACCGTCTCCCTAAAATATACAATATATAAATTGCCGGGAAGACAGCTGCGCGAGTAGGCGGCAAGGACACATGTGACACGCGACGGGGAAATGGTCCGTGTGACGGGTGACGAGAAAATCGTCCGTGTGACGCGCGTGAGCCACTCGTGGCCGACAGCCCTAAATTTAATTTCTCCCGAGGAAAAAAAAAATCCTGGGATTCATGAGAGAGACTCGAGAGAAGCAGATTCCCCTCGCGGCCAGTCGCTGAGAATCGTCTGGGGAATTTATCTCGGGGGCGTTGACTTTAGGGCCCACGGGGGCCAACGGGGGCCCACGGGGCTGTCCGAGACGACTCGATGCGGCTGCGAATTGCCAATTATCGTGAATTTGCAAAAATAAGTGTAGGTGAAAATAGCTAAATGTGAAGGTTGCTGAATTCGAAAGGACGCCTCGAAGTCCTGTTTTATTCATCGAGCCAGCTTGCCGGTCTTCAGACCTGTTCTGTAATTCGTAGGAAGTACTTTTTTTAGTACAAGGAGCCGGCCACGTGGGACCCCAAGATTCAAGGCCGAATTGATTGGTACTCTTTCCTGCAAGGAACGGATGTTCCCGCTGTACTTCTCGGTACTTTTCTGGCACCTTTGGTAAGCAAGACCTCCAATAAGCACGGAAGTCCTGGGACAAGCGGCACATTTTACCATAACACGCCCTCCGCGTGAAACCGAAATCCCCGGCGACAAACCGAAAGGAAACCGAAAGGTAACCGAAGGGAAACCGTGATCTTTTTCGTGACCGCACGCTGTCGACTGCGACGGAGCGACCTCCCTTCGCGGAAACATCCCTCAAGGCCGGTGGTCGAAGGTGATGTCATCGTGACGGTCACTCGTGGATGTGGTCACTCGTGGATGTCGCTTGTGACCGATGAATGCCTTACCTATCTCGGATGGAAGGCTTTGT